TTCAGCTTCTTCTGGTTCTGCTTTTGCGTCTGGACGCGTGCAATTTCGAAGTTCTTGCAGCTGGCTTTCTGTTTCAACTGACGCTGGGCCGATTCCTGCATCCGCCGAAGCTTATTCTCGGCCCTGGAAGCCTTTGTTTGGCACTGTCTGATGACTTTCCTCTGCTGACAGATTTTTTGATCCTTTGAGACCACAAGATGTTTCAAGGCCTTGTTCTCCAGCCTGAGCAGGCGCAGTTCCCTCAGTTCTTCATCATTGCTGGATCTCGAGCTGGCTGCGTCCGAATGCCGCGAACCTGCAGGGGCCGCACGGGCACGGGAATGTGAGCTGTCGTCGGTGGCGCTGTTGGGCTGCATGTCCTCAAAACCTGAGTCAAAGAAATCCATCGCACGGTGCTGCTTCACAGGTCGAAGCATGCCGCCATCGTCAAAGTCAAAGCTGTCTAGGGAGTCAAGGCTGTTCAGGCTGTCAAGTCTGTCAAGGCTACCAGCGCAGTTGGTAATCTCTCGTAACACAGGCCGTCTATTTCCTGCAGATTGCGCAACGCAACCTGCGGACTTGCACTTCGTCATGGATCTCTTTATGGAGTCCCATTGCCCAACAGAAAGCTGCACTCCATGACAGTCATGTAGCAGGACCGCTAAAATGTCAAAGCTGAATAACATGGGCTGATGTTCTTTGCGCAGCACAAAAACCGGCGCAACAGCCTGCATGAACTCATCATAAGGCATACGCTTTCTGCCATTGGAGCATCCGTTGCGTGCCCAATCTGGCGACCACAAATGGATGGACTGAAGACTGCTGCAAGTGACGCAAAGTTCACCAGCATGTAGAAGACAGTTTTCCTTCAGGACATTCCACAGAACTGGCGGCAACAAGATCTCTGCCGGCTCTGCCGTGCACGCCATGTTCTGCTCCCCCAACATGGCACTAACTGCATGAATTGTTTGGGAAACCGGGCACCGCCTTTTGCTTTGAATTGTTCTTGTCCAGGGTTTAGGGTTTAGGGTTCAGGGCCTTAGGCCTTAGGGTTTCGGGCCGGGTTTAGGGTTTAGTTTAGGGTTCAGGGCAACAAGAATCTTGTAATTATGCTCCTCACACATTGCTTCTTTTTTGTCCTAGACCTGAGATAAGGACGAATGAGCCCTGGGCCAGTCATGAATGGGTACCCGTACCGGCGTGCCGGCATGCCTGCATGGTAGCTCATACAGTTCATGTAATGCCAACCAATGAACGCATGCCGCCCTGAAACGGCGTTGGCACGTGAAACATCATGCTGCATTGCTGCGTGGCGCGACATGTTCTTCTTACGCAGACAGCCCACATGACATGGAACCAACAACATGTAACATGGAATCATGGAATCATGTGTTCTTGCCATAGCACAGGACTCCGGACAGCATATAGCATGAAAAAAACACATGAAACATCATGCATGCATTGCTGCGTGGCGTGACATGTTGCTCTGCAAACAGCCCACACGCGCGACATGGAATCAACAAAGTGTAAAACATGTAGCATGAACAGCACATGAAACATCATGCTGCATTGGTGCGTGGCGGGACATGTTGTTCTGCATGCGAGACATGGAACCACGTGTGAAACAAATTGATGCCACGTGGCACGCGAGCAGCACATGAAACATCATGCTGCATTGGTGCGTGGCGGGACATGTTGTTCTGCAGACAGCCCACACGCGAGACACGGAATCAACAAATTGATGCGACGTGGCACACGAGCATGTGCGAAAGTGTGCAAAATGTTTGTGTCCTACCCATCCTACCCTGGGAAGACCCCTCCCCCTCCGACCACCACCTTCCCTTCCCCAGCCCGCCCCCCCCCCCCCCCCCACTCTCCCCCCTCTCCCGCCTCTCCCCCCCCCCCCCCCCCCCCCCCCCCCACCCCCACCCCCTCCCACCCCTTTCTCTCCAGACCCATTTCCCACCTAGGCCCCGAAAAACGCTCGCGTCAAGCCACAGCGCAAACCGGGACCCACGACCCCTAAACCCTAAACCCTAAACCACCCTAAAACCCTAAACGCACCCTAAAAACCACCCCAAGCCCTGAACCCAAAACCACCCTAAACCCTAAAAGCCTACAAAACCCTAACGCCCCAAAACCCTGTGACAAGCAACCTGCGGATACGTACGGTGTCTTCGAGCTCCTCTTGGGCTTACTGTTGGTTCGTCTAGGGAATGAGGGAATCAGGGAAGGAGGTACCCTATATATACCCTTTAAGGGATTAGGGTTTAGGGATTAGGGTTATAGGGTACCTCATTCCCCCCCATTCCCTATACTAAGCAACAGTAAGCTTTCCAGTTCGGGGGCGGAGGGTTTGGTGGCTTTCGGGATACAACGTTTAGGGTTTAGGGTTTAGGGTTTAGGGTTTAGGGCTGAGGGTTCTTGGAAGGGCTTCTGGAAGTGGGTTGGGGTTGGGGGGATCACCCCAAGTAGGTCGAATACTAATCCTTTGGGCGAGACCCTGGCCAGTCAAGCACCTAACGGTTTAGGGTTTAGGTGATCTTTTC